TGGCAGGAGTCTTGCGTGACCGCGCCCATGTAGGCTTACCCCTCACAGGTTTCATGGCCCCGCAGGGAGCTCCACCGAAGGGCACAGTGGCAGGCATCGCATGCGTGACCTCGCCCACGTGAGCACACCCCGCACACGTTTCGTGGCCCCATGGGGAGCTCCACCGAAGACCACAGTGACAGGAACCGCATGCGTGACAGCGCCTTTTTCGGCATATCCTTCGCACCTTTCGTGGCTCCATGTGGAGCTCCAGCGAAGGCCGAAGTGGCACAAATCGCGTGTTTGACCGTCCATGTCGGCACAGCCCTCACACGGTTCGTGGCCCCATGGGGAGTTCCACCGAAGGCCCCGCCCACCGCTTGTTGCTCCCCAGGGCAGCGCCGACAGACGCGCAGATCAAACGGAATGTATTGTTTAATCCGTTACGATCGTCACGACCATGACAATCCCCATCATCACCATCGTCATCATCACCACCACCATCACCACCATCATCACCATCACCCCATCATCATCATCATCATCATCATCATCATCATCATCATCATCATCATCATCATCACCACCATCACCATCGTCAACATCACCACCATCATCACCATCACCCCACCATCATCACCATCACCACCACCATCATCATCCCCATCCATCACCATAATCAGCAGCACTATCATCATCGTCGTCGGCGGCATCATCATCGGCACCATCAGCATTATCAGTATCGTCACCACCATCGTCATCAGCATAACAATAAACATCATGTTAACCAGCATCATATCAGTATAATCGTCATCATCAGACTCACCAGCGCCACCATCATGATTATGATGCTGCTGATGATGATGATGATGATGCTGCTGCTGCTGCTGATGATGATGATGATGATGATGATGATGATGATGATGATGATGATGATGATGATGATGATGATGATGATGATGATGATGATGATGATGATGATGATGATGGTCATGCGCATGGTCAAATGGGCCTCGCGTGCGCGTTCTGCGCAGCATCCGAGGCTACCCGCGGTACAACGCCACGGACCGCGTGACCGATCTGCAGGTGATGGAGCACTTCAGCTTAGCCACTACTGATGTTCTGATACGGCAGAAGCGCTTGAAATGCCTGGCGAGCCCAGCGTCGCCTGCATCGCTCCCGGCGTTGTTGGCACCACGGCCGTGTGCTCATGGTACCACCTGGGGGGAGACATGGGCCACTGATGTCCGCTGCATGTGCGCTCGCTGCGAGGAGAAGGTGGAGCCTTTCGACAGCAACCGTGCTTGGTGGTGGGCGTGGATACGCGAGCGGCCTAAGTTCTTCAAGTGCATTGCCAAGAAGACTGTCGAGAGAACGCCGCGGGACCTGCCCGCCCCTAGACGCGAGCAGTCGTGGAAGACACGGGCCGAGGCGGAGATGCTGCAGGGAGCGACCACCCAATCCTTGCCACTCTCCATGGGCGAGCTCTGCCCTCCTGGTCGTGTGCGCGTGCTCGCGTCACTTGGCATCGCTCGGACGTGTGTATTTTTTCCTTCGGCGAGGACCATCGAGGAGCATCCTTGATCATCTGGCGACAAAAAAAACACGCACGAATCCGAAAAAGACACTGGGAATGGACGTCCGAGCGATGGCGAGGTCAGCCAAGGCCTTGGTGATGCACAGGGTTCGGGCCCACGGCCTGCGCGCGCCGGCTGCCCAGTACTAGGCATCGCTCGGACGTGTGCCTTTTTCCGTCGGCGAGGACCATCGAGGAGCATCGATGATCTTTTGGCGGAAAAAAACCACGCACGAAACCGAAGAAGACACAGGGATTTTGACGTCCGAGCGATGGCGAGAGTATGCCACGAGGTGTTCGGCACCAGGGCAAGGGCGATCCACCATGTGCTCTATGCCTCAAAATCGTATTGGGCTTGACTCCATACTCCGTCCACCATGTGCTCTATGCCTCAAAATCGTATTGGGCTCGACTCCATACTCGGCGCCCCCCATCCTGACGCCGAGATTCACAAGGCGGACGTTGCCGAGCGCGCCCACAGTCTGAGGCTGAGCACGGCCGGCGGCAACCGGCTGCTGTCTCTTACGCCGGGGCCGAAATATGTGGAAGGCGGCGCAAGCCGATGGGGGCAGAGTACGCTGAGCGAGAACGCGCCGCTGCCTGAGGCTAGATATTGTGCGAGCGTCAGGCTTTCCAGCCAGATGCCGCCACGCGCGTCTTGGACGATGGAGCCCGGATGGCTGTGGAACTCAGTCGCATTGGTTCCCCAATCATACCTTTTTGTCCGGCTGCGTAGCGATGCGGGGTCAGCACGAATGAAGGACAGCAGAGTGAACATGCGCCCATCTACAACCGGGGCCCCGAAGAAGGAACCCTTTTCGTTGGGGAGGGGCTCGGTGTTCCTTGATTGTTCTACAGTTTGCCTTCTGTTTTCCTTAGGTTTTCCATGGGAAATCGAAGTTCAACTTATGGAAAAAAGGGGCCCCGTTCCTTACTTAGGGTTCCTTAGGTCAACGCCCCGACTGTACGTACACACGGCGGCTCTCTGAGACGTCAGCTGCCCGAGCCAGATACGCTCACGGCCCGCGCTGATTTGCGGCGCGCGCGCTGCAGACGCACACCTTGCTTTCCGAACTCTCGTCGACCCAGGTCCAGCCCATCCCAATCAGCATCCTCTTCCTCCTCTTCCTCCTCCTCCTCCTCTTCCTCATCGCCATCACCATCATCACTATCATCATCTTCATCATCATCATCCTCATCATCATCATCATCCTCATCCTCATCCTCATCCTCATCCTCGTCCTCCTCAGCGTCGTTCTCATCATCACCACCATCACCACCGTCGCCATCACCATCACCATTATTATCACCCTCATCGTCATCATCATCATCATCCTCATCATCATCATCACCATCATCACCATCATCACCATCATCATCACCATTTTCACTATTATTATCATCATCATCCCATCATCAGCATCATCATCATTATCACCATCATCAATACCATCATCATCATCAGCATCATCATCATGAGCATCATCATCATCATCATCATCATCATCATCATCATCATCACCCCTCGGTGCGGGACACGTGCACCAAGTACGGCAACAACACCGCCGTGTACCGCTTCCAGCTGCACGGCTCCATGCAGCACACCGGCCTGCACGTGGGGCGCTTCATCGCCATCCGCGGGGAGGTCGACGGCGACACCATGACGGGCTACTACAGCCCCATCTCGCGGCCAGAGGACCCGACGCCGCAGTTTACGGTGGGTTCGTTTCGCTTCGCTTCGCTACAGCTTAGAGCCCCTGCAGAGCTGGCCGGATCTGTGCCAACTCCTTGGCTACCCACTCGAGTGCTCGATCCAGCGCAATCCTCTCTGCTTGGAGCACCGTCGCGTCCACTGGTATGTACGCCCCCTCTGCGCACCAGGGCTGCCAAAGAGTCGCCCCCTCGACTTCGCCGCAGATGCCGAGGGGTTCGTGTCGCGTCGACGCGTCGGCGAACCTGGCGCGGGGGCTCCCAGGGTGGAGAGCGCCGCCTGTGGCCTAACGAGTCGGCCTGTGTGACATGCTCTGTCGGGGGTGGACAGCACCCCCAACAGCGACACGCCGATCTGGGGAATTGCCCGTTGTCGGTTCTCGAGAGGGATCGCCGTGGCCGTCGTTTTCCAGGCCTGCGCCCGCCGGGTTTGGGCCTCGGGTCTTGGCATCGCTCGGACGTGTGCATGTTTTCCTTCGGCGAGGACCATCGAGGAGCATCCTTGATCATTTGGCGGAAAAACCACGCACGAAACCGAAAGAGGCATAGGGAATGGACGTACGAGCGATGGCGAGCACGTCGATTAGTGAATTGTCCGTTCTCGGTTCTCGAGAGGGGTCGCCGTGGCCGTCGTTTTCCAGGCCTGCGCCCGCCGGGTTTGGGCCTCGGGTCTTGGCATCGCTCGGGCGTGTGGATTTTTTCCTTCGGCGAGGACCATCGAGGAGCAAAAAAACCACGCACGAAACCGACAAAGGCATGGGGAATGGACGTACGAGCGATGGCGAGCACGTTGTCCGTTCTCGGTTCTCGAGAGGGGTCGCCGTGGCCGTCGTCTTCCAGGCCTGCGCCCGCCGGGTTTGGGCCTCAGGTCTTGGCATCGCTCGGACGTGTGCATGTTTTCCTTCGGCGAGGACCATCGAGGAGCATCCTTGATCATTTGGCGGAAAAACTACGCACGAAACCGAAAAAGGCATAGGGGATGGGCGTACGAGCGATGGCGAGCACGTCGATTAGTGAATTGTCCGTTCTCGGTTCTCGAGAGGGATCGCCGTGGCCGTCGTTTTCAAGGCCTGCGCCCGCCGGGTTTGGGCCTCAGGTCTTGGCATCGCTCGGGCGTGTGCATGTTTCCTTCGGCGAGGACCATCGAGGAGCATCCTTGATCATTTGGCGGCAAAACCACGCACGAAACCGAAAAAGGCATAGGGGATGGGCGTACGAGCGATGGCGAGCACGTCGATTAGTGAATTGTCCGTTCTCGGTTCTCGAGAGGGATCGCCGTGGCCGTCGTTTTCAAGGCCTGCGCCCGCCGGGTTTGGGCCTCAGGTCTTGGCATCGCTCGGGCGTGTGCATGTTTCCTTCGGCGAGGACCATCGAGGAGCATCCTTGATCATTTGGCGGCAAAACCACGCACGAAACCGAAAAAGGCATAGGGGATGGGCGTACGAGCGATGGCGAGCACGTCGATTAGTGAATTGTCCGTTCTCGGTTCTCGAGAGGGGTCGCCGTGGCCGTCGTTTTCCAGGCCTGCGCCCGCCAGGTTTGGGCCTCGGGTCGTTTCCACTGAACCACGCTCTACGAAAGGGGGGTCTGTCCGTCCCCGCATCTGGCGATCGAACCGCCGCCGACGGGTCGACGTCGAGCGACCCGCGCGCCGTCAGGCACGAGCGCAGGGGCCGCCAAGGCACGAGCCCGTCGCACACGCCTCCACCGCCCGGAGGCGCGACCTCCCGGGGCACAGGGCGGCAGTGGAGTTACGGGCATCTCTTGGCTCCTCTTCCTCCTCCTCCTCCTCCTCCTCCTCCTCCTCCTGCTCCTCCTCCTCCCGGATGTGCGCCCATGCGTCCACCGCCTCCTGGGGTCCTGGGATCCCGCTGCGCCGGGCGGTGGACGTGCACGTGCTGCGCCCCTGCCTCTCGCAGAGGACGCGGGCATCATCGACATCCTGTGCCGCGTGGACGAGAAGGGCGGCCCGATCGTCAAGTTCCTGCTCTCCCTGCGGCCCGGCGCCTCCGTGCAGATGAAGGGCATGGGCGGGCTCAAGCTCATCCGGCAGCCAGGCGCTTACCAGCCTCGAACGTATCCCTATCCCTAAGATTGACACGCCAAAAGGCGATGACAATCTCAGGGACTCGCCCTCAAAAAATAAGGGAACCCCTAAGATTGGCATCGTGATGAGGAGATGCCCAGCGGAGGATGACGATTAATAAATGACCGGGGGTCGTGTTCACGCGGCGGCGCCCGGGATGACGATTAGAAAAAAACCGGCCGCGGGCTGGAACACTATGTTTTAAAATCGTTCTCCTCCAGGCAGGAACTTGTGCAGAAAGAGCAGAAAACTAGTTTTTTAATCCTTCCCCCCCCATTTTGTTTATCAATCGTCATCCCGCATTATCGGGGCGGGCGAAAGGGGGGGATTGGGAAAGGGGGGGTTACGAAATTTGCTGCATGCAGCTGGTTTCGGCCCCACCGAGGGGCCCATTCCTCGATACATAGCCGCCTCCGGCGCTGGGAGGCGCCGGGAAAATCAGCTACGTGAGCTGATTCTCAACCCCCCCTTTGCTATCCCCCCCTTTTGCCCGACCCGACATTAGGGATAGGGATATGCTCCTGGCTGGTAAAGGCGTGTGCTGGACCTACCTCGACCGCCCGGTGCAGCGCTTCAGCCTGCTGTGCGGCGGTGCCCCGCGGAGGGCCGCCCGAGGCCACGGCGGCCCTCCCTGGCGCTCGCTCTGCCCCTCGCCTGGCCTCCCGCATGCCTCGCCGGCCCCGACTCCAGATCCGCCCTGCTTTGGCTTTTTTCCCAACGTAAATCGGGGGCGGGCAGAACCCCCAACAGTGGCACGTCGATTAGTGGATTGTCCGTGTACGGTTCTCGAGATGGCGCCGTGGCCGTTATTTTCCAGGCTTGCGCCCGCCAGGTTTGGGCCTCAGGTCGTTTTCACTAAACCACGTTTTACTAAAGGGGGGTCTGTCCATCCCCGAGTAAAATTGCGTCGGAAATCCACCCATCAGAAGCCGAACAAGTAGGACGGGAATCTCTGCACCCAACACAACATAGGGCGGAAATCCGCAGAAGTAGGGCGGAAACAGGAACAGAAAAGTAGGGCGGAAATTGGCATCAGCGGGGCTTGAAAAGTAAGGCGGAAATTCCAAGCCCTGCTTGCGAATTTCCCCAAAGTAGGGCGGATCCGGAGTCAGGGAGTACATCGGCGATACGGCGCGATCCTCCCACCCGACCAGCTTTCGAAGGAGAAACATCGCCACAAACATACACTTTTGGCGCTCCGCGCGGATGTCTTCGATGCGCGCCAGGGCCCCCCGGCGGCGCCTCCGGCGCCGCCCCTGGCGCGCTCCGCGCGCCAGGGAGGGGGGTCCCAGCGCAGATCCAACAAATCCGCGCGGACCGTCAAAAGTGTATGTTTACGCGGCATGTCCTGTTCCTCGCCTCCTCCTAAATTATGCCTCTTTCTGTTCCTCTAATGGTATGCGGCATAAATTATGCCTCTTTCTGTTCCTCTGATTTGGCCTCCTGGATGCATCGCCAATGCAGTGGCGATACGGCGCGATCCTCCAACCCCACCCACTCGGACCCCATTCGGGAGACCGATGGGAAATCAGGCTAGGACGGACCCCTGGAGGGGTCCAGGGACCGATTTTGAGCGGATCTGGCACGGGCGGAAAAGCAGCTGTCCCAGACATCCGACGATGTGTTTTCTTCGATGCGCGGCCCCAGAGTTCTTGACCCCGTCCCCGGGGGCACTGATCCAGACTTATCCGTCTTGGATCTTGTCCGGCGGTCCGATGGTCGGCCCCAGAGGCGGAAGTGACAGAGAAGCGCGGCGACTGAAAACTTATAACGCCAGAGATTTGGGGGTGCTCCAGCCCCAGAATTCAGAGCGTGAATTACCTACCCCGCTTTCGCTTCCAGGCAAAACCAAGTCATACCACGCGCCTCCTGGTCAAGCGGCCTGACCAGTACAGGCCGTAGTTTGGCATCGCTTGGTATCTCTTGGTTAGGTGTAAGGTCGCGGGACCCTTGAGGTGTCGAAGAATAGGTTTCTTTTTTCTTGTTTCGTTCTAGTTTTGTTCTAGTTTCGTTCTAGTTTCCTTCGCGCCGCGTTCGTCATCTTCTCACCCTTCGTCCTCCTGATCATTATCTCCTCGTCTTCTCGTCCTCGGTGACCTGTGTCCCCTCGTGCTGTCTCACTGTTTGTCGCTGTCATGTTATTATTTCCCTCCACATCATCCTCTTCCTCGTCGTTTTTATCCTCCTCATTCTCCTTCCCTCTTGGTACTCGCGCGGCGCCTCGACCTCGATGATGGTTTGGGCGCGTGCGTCCTATGGTGAAGCACTTGCAGTCGGATTCGCTCACATTCAGAACCGCTCACGCTCAGATTCATTTGCGTGCAGACCCACGCATGCTCAGACTCACCCGATCGCAGACTCGACCGCGCCCATACGCAATCACAAACGCACCCACTAGCACTCAGACCCACTCCCGTTAGTATGAAAGTGTGCTCAGATTCGCTCATTCCTCGACTCATTCCCCCCAGGGTGAACTCAATTCCCCTCCCCTACCTCCTCCTCCTCCGCCTCCTCCTCCTCCTCGCCCTCCTCCTCGGGGGCTGGGAGATTCCCCTGCGGGGCCACTAGGGGTTCGCAACGGCCTCACGGCAGCCCGTGGCGGGGCTTGGCAAGCCCAGAGTCCCAGAGGTATTTAGGGCCTCTTAAATACCTCGCGATTCGGTCGCCGACCTTGCCCCGAAAGGTCCCCCAAGGAGGCCCCGAAAGGTTCCCTCCACCTCCCCCGCCTCCCCCGCCTCCTCCTCCTCCTCCTCCTCCTCCTCCACTCGCGTTAGTATGAAAGTGTGCTCAGATTCGCTCATTCCTCGACCCATTTAGCATTGGTCGCAAACGCACGTGTTACGACGCTTTGTTGATGTTGCCTTCTGCTGCCCGCCGCTGGGGTTCTTGCTCACTGTTCACCACTTCCGTAGGCATTGGTTCGGGCCTGCGTCGGCAGCGGCGGGCTGACATGGAAGAGGTTCGCCAGCGCGTCCACGCTTCGCGAGAACAGCTCGCAGCTTTGCACCGGGCAATTTCTGCGCTGCCACAGTCGGCAGAGTTCGAGGCGTCCCTGTCGGCGATATCCCATCTATCTGATACGCTAGCAGGGGAGTTTGATTTGAGGAGAAGGGCAGGAAGGAAACGGCCCAGACTGGAGACCCTGAAGCGGAAGGTGTCTTCTTTTCAACGATCTGTGCGGCACCGCCGCGCCGTGGCGGCTGCGGCGCGCCAGAACTTGCAGGATCCCCAGTCAGCCAAGAGTGGCAGGCGGATAAAGCATTTATGGTTGACAAGAATCTTGACGACCCCGCCGAACGTGCCGGTGAGGGCGCTGTCTGATTGGCTCCGCGATTGGCCCGAAGTGGAGACTCGCAATGTTTCAACTTGGGGAATTGCGACAGTGCGCGATGCGGGCGCACAGGTGCTAAAACACATCAACCGAACACACGTGGCGAGCCTTGTGGAGAGAGGCGGTGCGGTCAGCAGCGCTACCGAGACGCATCCCGTGTTTTTGACCCACGCCCACGACGAAGCCGCCATGCGGCTAAAAAACTATGGCCCGAACAGCTCCACCCGTGGGAGATCGTCCAAGATCCAGAACCACGTGATTCGGATCCACACCAGTTTCGATTCGGAGCAATTCTTGACTGAGTTACAACCGGTTCTGAGGAAGGATGCAGTAACAATCGCTCAAGCCATGGCGGCAGCTTCAGAGGAGGCCATTGAGCAGATTGTTCTAGGCGCCCGCCAGATCGGCCCAGCCTGCACGACGGCCCGCGTGATTCACATGATCGTTGGCGACGGCATTCAGACCAATGACTCGGCATGCAGGCGGTTGCTGCAGTACTATTCCCAGAGAGCACCCGAGTTGGGCATCAGGTACGGCCTGATAGTCAGCGTTTGTGCAAGCCACAAAGCAAATCTTGTAGTTGTCGCGCCATATGCGGGCAACTTCTGAAGGATGCGGCGAAGGCGGACCCCATCGCTGCCACGTGCACGCGGGCCTTCAAGTATCTAGTTGCATTTGGTCTGTCCCGCCACTGTGCCTCGGTGGTGGTGGTGGTGGTGGTGGCGGTGGTGGTGGTGGTGGTGGGTCGGAGGTCTCAGTGCTGTCCGTCGGGGGCTCGCGGTTGGCCGATTCAGGGCTTCTCGGCGACCGTGCTGGGCCTTCTTGAGGCCTGTTTGGCGCCTCGTGGGGGCTCCTTGGAGTTATTGGGGGCCTCTTGGGGCCTCCTGGGAGCGTCTTGGCGTCTTGGGGGCCTCATGGGGGCTCCCTCGGAGCTTGTTGTTGCCTCTTGGGAGCTTCGTGGGGCGGGGGGGGGGTCGGTTTTCGGCGTTCGGGTGCCGCGAACCTCGCGCGGGGCGTCAAAACATGCGCCCGCCATAGTCGCGCGACCCTCAGGGTTGAGAACTCAGGTTCAAGGATGAGGTAGAGTATCTTGGAACGCGCCTTATCCGTGCCTCAGAGAACGGCGGCGGATTTAACAGTCGGCTACTTGGAGGAGTTCTCCTTCAACCTCCGCCGTGCGATCGACGCGCGTCTTGCTGTCGTGCACGACGTGGGGTCTAATCTTATCGCCCAACACAGCCAGCGGGGGTTCAGTTTGCAGCGTTTGTACGGCGAGGGGGTGATACCGCCCGCGCTGCTTGGCGCCTTGAATAGAGATTTTCTTGCATGGGAGCATTGCTGTGAGAGCCTTGGGGATCGCCCACGCGCGTGCGCCATGCTGTTCGACGTGCTCTCGAAGCACCTTCTCCGTCTGGAGGAGCGGCCAGTGCCAGCGAGGTTCTGGCTGTTCACGCGCTGCGTGTGGGCTTTACTCATCATGGACATGTTGGGCTTGCCAACCTCACTGTTCAAGCTGGACAATAAGAAGCCGCAGAAGGAAAATGCGGATCGGCTCAGCAGGGTCCTCGGATTTTTCCAGGCGCCAACGACCCCAGCGCAGTTGAGGAAGGCTGCGCTGTGTTTACGTTTGAGTTACCACGCCGTTTGCACGAGCGCGCAGACGAAGACCAGGGAA